CCACCTCAAAAGGTGCAACCCGAATGTCCCTTGACCTCGAAGAATTCGCCGGAAATGTCCTCAACCTCTCAGCCATCGACGTCATGTTTTAACCTTATTCTTACAATCATCTACAGTGTGTGTTCTATCGATAAAGCTCGCCTGACAGCAGATGACTTTACGTATTCTGGATCCGGGGTTGCGACAAAAGCCCGTACCTTCTTATTTATTGGCTTTGCACTGATGGCAGGTGGTTTGGCCGGGTCTATGGTATGCGATTGTTGAGCTTGGGCTTATACACATTTTATGCGGAATCTCCATATTTATGAACTAAGCTTGAATTTTTTAAACTCGTTTCTGGTTGATGCGGTAACAGACATTGTTAATCCTTAAACACGTTGTGAACGAGGCTGAGACGGTTGTTTATTTTGGAGCTGCTGTATTTATGCAGAACATTTTAATTATGCTCAGGTTTGTTGTTCTATCCCATTCTCGAAGAATTCGATTTTCTATATTCATGATCTCTCATTAAATCTTTCTCGCTCGCTTCAGCTGCGTTTCACTTTGGATCGCACGAGAGACCGAAGAAGAATACCGTTATACCGAATTTAATTTGTAGCATTGTTTTTTTTTTCTTTTTATTCAAATCGTATTTTTGTCCAGAAGCATCTTAAGCAGATACAACTCACCATCAATCATATTGTGTATTCTTGAACTATCTATTTTCGATTTTCTAAATTTCTTCTATTTATGTATCTATCACTAACAACAGGATTAATATCGATTCAACATAATAAAATGTTTTAGTATTTAGTCGAGCGTTTATTATACCAATCGTCTATTCGATCATCAAATCTTCTTCTTCAATTGCAGACAACCCCTCGTCCTCCAAACCCTCATCATTTCTTCTTTTCCTTTTTTTGCCTTCTTCACCCATCTCCTGAATCATTTTCAGCACGACTCCCTTTTCGTCATAAACCAAAGTACCAGCCTTCCACGTTCCTGTTTTTAACCCAATCATTTTGTTTTTCTCGTATTCCTTTTTTATCGCATCACCATCCCCTTTCCAATCCTTATAGAGTTGCAAATTCTGCCTGCCTATGAGACGCATGGTCTTTACACGAAGATCTTGTGCGGACTTATATTTTCCACATAAATTATTTTTCACCATTATTGTTAATTATTATCATTGTTATTGTTGTTCATCGAATCAATGTTAAAAATAAGAGATTAGTCAATTCGCCGTCGGTGGTTTGAAAATAGACGTTAACTTTGAAATCATGCGGACGAACCCATTCCAGTAAAAATTCGTCGGAAATCTCTTTGTAGTGACCGATACCGTATTTCTGAATTCCTTTTATCAGCAATCCGCGCTCTTTCTCCGTCCACTTACGTTGCAGTTGAGTCGTTAGCGATTTTGGAGGTCGAAAATAGCTGATTGTTGGAGTAAAGAGAACGTGTTTTTAGAATGCAGTTCGTAACGTTACGCAACCTCGGTTCGAATCGCCTTACTCTTGATTCAATGTTCCATCGGGATGTAAAATGTTTTTTGTGATTTCGAACTCGGGTCGGACGCTAAACTTCAATCGCATTCGTTTAACCCATTCCTGTTTCGCCCGAAGTTTCTCAGAGGCGGGTTTAACCGTGTTGGTCACGTCCTGCTGTGATTCCGATATATTCATGATTGCTTCCGACTGAGGTTCTGGCGTTATGGTGACAGCTTCCTGTGAAGTTTGGGTACTTTTGGACGCTGGTGGAGGTGACGCACGCGCCGTCGTTTTAGGAATGACCAACTTTATTATCGTTGGTTTAGATGGCTGAGAGGTTGAGGACATTTCCGGCGAATTCTTCGAGGTCAAGGGACATTCGGGTTGCACCTTTTGAGGTGG